TACCTCCATCCTAGGTGAAGAAGAAAAATTATTTTGGATAGATCTACAACAATGAAAATAAACCACAAAGTATTTCTCAGTAAGTGATATTACATATTAAATTGTTACTGAATTGCCCACTTTTAGTTACTATTTTTGATCACACATGTGGATTGAATATATAAATAAAATATATTTAGAGATGCCAAGGAATGAGTGGGGTTCAGTATCTTCTTGGTGTGGTGGCAGCACCTGGTCTCACTTGTCTACTACCAAAGAGGTCCAGGGTGGTGCTGTTTCCCTAGATAACAGGATTAGGAGGCAGCTCCTCTCTTCCAGATTTTCATGCATATACTCAAGCTATAGAACTTTGGACTTCATAGGTTCCTCAGGGATCCATTTAAATGAATGAGGGAAAGTCATGCATTATGAGTCCCTCAGAGATATTTCTAAATAGCAAAATGCATAGTCATTCCACCACAGGGCACTTTTCCTTGGCCCCACCCCACCACTTTTCCTACAGGTCCTATGTATGTAAGGCTTATTTTTAAATAATTTCTCTACTCTTTCCATCTACCTCTTTCCATCTACCTGCATTGCAAATTTTTCCATATTCTACTCATTAAATTAGAAGAAATGTTCCAGACATTCTAAGACTGTAAGATTTCTTTCCTGGCCAAATTCCCTTCTGGCAAGACTGCTGTATATGTTAGTATATAAGAATGTGCAGTGCACAAGTTCACGGTGTGTCATTCATGTTGTCATTAATGGGGAATGTCCCCTCCTGGAGTTGTGCAGAGTTCAACTTACACAGCTGTACCTGCTGCCATTCCTCTTGGCAACAGCCTTAGACCTAAGGACAAAGACAGTGATTTCACTGATGAATATATGGGAAGCTCCTGCTTACCCTTCTATAATGTGTATACACAAGTCTTTGACATAGGTACATTGCAACATCTTACCATTTTCCTTTTTTATTAAAAAATCTTTAATTCTTCTTCAATGTCTTCAGGATTAACTGTTACCGGTGGATTCTACAAGTGTGAACTAATCTTATCAGAATCACGCAGCTGAGTTTAAACAATAAAAAGATTACTACACCTCCAGATTGAAGATTCTGGCTTGAGAGATACAGGGTAGGACCTGGGAGTCAGTGCTTTAGAATGCAGCCCCCCATGCTCTATCCTACCTGGATAATTTGGAAGCACAGCCTTTTGGGAAACACCCGTCTATCTCCACCATGGACCACAAAGCTTCACCATCGGGCATGCAGGCTGGGAGGTGGGGTAGCACCAAGTAAAGGAATCTGCAGCAGCATGGATGGGTTTCAAAGTGTGCTCAACTATACCCTAACATGTGATAGTGTCAATAATTAAAAAATACAGACTGCAATTCTGGGAAGATGGAGTATATATACTTTTTCCTGTTCCTTCCCACTAAGTACAATTAAGTACTCAACATTATATAAAAAACATAACATGACTCTAGGAGCTGAAGAGAGGTGGGAAGACTGGCTAGGGCCCTCAGGACCTAAAGAGCAAAAACAGTGGTGAGTTCCCAGGGTCTTCCTTTCACCTTGCACATCCCAGACTGGGCACTGGACAAGCTGGCAATCCAGAAATGCCAATGGGCTCAGACCAAAAAAAGTCAACAAAAGCCTGCTCTCTCTAGCCAAAGAACCAGGAAACGAACAATCTAACAAAAGAAAACTTTCAGAAAGTAACAGCTTGTTATAGGATAACAGAAAATTGACTAGTAATTTCCCTTTAAATATTTTTTATAATTTGATTATGTTCTGAAAATATAGTATGAAAGCATCTTCATTTTAAAATGAAAACAAGAGATTCTAGGACTTCTGGTCTAGATGGAGGAGTGGGTAAACATGGCTCACTTCCTTGTACAACCACATCAAAATTACAACTAAACCAGCTATCACCCAGGACCATCAGAAATCGAGTTGAACGGAAGTCTAATAACTAGGGAATTAAAGAAACCACACTCATCCACACTGGTAGGAGGGATGGAGATGCAGAGATGCTGAATGGACTGGTCCCACACCCATGTGTGGTGGATAAAAATTCAGGAGGGATTATTTTGGGAGCAAGGAATCCCAGCCCCACACCATGTCCCCCAGCCCAGGGTTCCAGCGTCAGGAAGATAAGTCCCTATTTCTTGCTGCAAAAACCAATGGTTATTGAGTCAGAAGAAACAGAGTTCCAATCAGTTCCTCTTAGAGAACCCACACATGGACTTACTCAGACTCACTCCCTTTGAGCTCCAGCTTCAGGGTAGCAGCTTGAAAGGCACCAGTGGCACACAGGGAGGAACTTAAGTGTCTGGCATCAGGATGAGAACTGGAGGACAGCCCCCTTCTAGTCAGAAAGGTGGGCAGAGGCCATTGTTCCTTTTCTGAGCCTTCCCTGCACAGAGCCACTGAGCCAGCAGGCAGGTGCCTGAGACTCCATCAACCTGATTTACACTGTTTGCCCTACCCTGAAAGTCCCTGAATCTCTGCCTCAGCCAACTTATGAGCCCACCCAAGCTGTGAACCGTGGCTCTTCCATATGAATGACTGGTCTTGGTTCATGCTTCATAACTTCCTAAATTCTCTCAAACAAACAACAATTGGCATTGGCAAGCCCCCACCCCTACACCTCTTGCTAAGTGGCCCCAGGCCCAGCACTAGTAGCAGCTTGGCTTCACCTGGCTTCACCTGGGAACTTCAAGGCTTGGCTTCACCTGGGAACTTCCAAGCCCAGCACAAGTAGTGGCCATCTGCAGGTTGCTTTGTATCTCATGCAGGGTGGCCCTGGGCAGAACATACAAAGGGACTGATCTTGGCCTGCACCACCTGGGAAACCCCAGGGCCAGTGCACCCAGTAGACAGCTACAGGCCATTTGAAGCACCACCAGTCAGTCCCTGCATGATCCTCCAGGGATGGCAGAGACTGATGGTCAGTTGTTACAGCCAGTCCTTGCAGCTTCCTGGCCTGAGTAAATCCCTCCCATTGACTAGCCAATAGCAATCAAGGATCAACTACAGGAGTATATACTCAGCCCATGTGAAGGGTGCATCTTGAGTACCCAGCTTGGGTAATAGGGTCCTGTGCCACTGGACCCTACAGGACATCAAATACATTAAGCCATGCTACGAAGAACAGGGAGTCATAGCAGCTTTACCTAATACACAGAAACAACCACAGGGAGGCTGTCAAAATGAGGAGACAAAGAAACATGGTCCAAATGAAAGAACAGATCAAAACTCCAGAAAAAAAACTCAGCAAAATGGAGAAAAGCAATCTATCAGATGCAGAGTTCAAATCACTGGTTATAAGGATGCTCAGGGAACTTAGTGAGGACCTCAATAGCATAAAAAAGATTCAGTCAGAAGCAAACAATACACTAATTGAAATAAAGAAAAATTTACAGGGAAACAATAGAGTGGATGAAGCCGAGAATTAAATCAATGATTTGGAATATAAGGAAGCAAAAAAACACCTTTCAGAACAAGAAGAAAAAAGAATCCAAAAAAACAAGGATAGTGTAAGCAGCCTCTGGGACAACTTCAAAGCATCCAACATTCTCATCATAAGGGTGCCAGAAGAAGAGAAAGAGCAAGAAATTGGAAATTTATTTGAAAAAATAATGGAAGAAAACTTCCCTCATTTGGTGAAGGAAATAGACATGCAAGTTCAGGAAGCACAGAGAGTCTCATACAAGATGGATGCAAAGAGGCCTATTCCAAGACACATCATTATTAAAAAGCCAAAGGTTTTTTAAAAAGATTTTTTTTTAAAGAATCTTAAAAGCAGCAAAAGAAGTTGGTTACCTACAGAGGAGTCTCCATAAGACTGTCAGTTGATTTCTCAAAAGAAACTTCGCAGGCTTGAAGGGATCGGCAAGAAATATTCAGTCACAAAAAGCGGGAACCTACAGCCAAGATTCCTCTACCAGCAAAGCTATCATTTAGAATTGAAGAGCAGATAAAAAGCTTCTCAGACAAGAAAAAAACTAAGAGATTTCATCATCACCTAATCATTATTATATGAAATGTTAAAGGGACTTAAAAGATAAAAACTATGAATAATAAAATGGCAATAAATACATATCAACCATGTAAAAAACAAGAATAGACAGAATCATGGATATGAAGAGTGTTTTGATGTTTGCCAGATGTGAGGGGGGTTTAAGGGGGAATGAGTGAAGAGGTGAGGCAATTAAGAAGTACAAATTTAGGAGCCATGGAATGTAAAGTACAGTATAGGGAACAGAGTAGCCAAAGAACTTACACGGATGACCCATGGACAGGGACAACGGTGTGGGGATGGCCTGAGGGAGTAGGGAGCGTTGGGTGGAGGTGGCAAAGGGGAAAAAAATTGGGACAACTGTAATAGCATAATCAATAAAATATATTAAAAAATTAAAAAATAAAAATAAATGGGAAATAGTAACATAGATGCACTTCCACATTTTTATTTAACTTGTTCCTGTCAAAACCCCTACAGTAAATGTCACAACTATTCTAAGAAAGAAATGGAAGCCCTTGGAAATTAAGTGACTTGCTCAAGGACCTCCAACTTCTGTGCAGCAGTCAGAGCTCAAACCCAAGCCTTCCGGTTCCTCGTAATTTTCCACAGGGCATGTGTTAAGATCCCTGTGTCTTATCATTTCTGAACAGCTTTAGTGAAAAACTATGCTCACTGTTTCATTGAAGACTGTGCCAACAACAATCTCTGGTTTGTGAGAATAAAGGGGGAGATGGTTCAGATATTTTGTCCTGAGCAAAAAGGCATCAGTTGTTTTAATCACAAGGTTAAAAGAGAAAAAAAAAAAGTCATCATTATACTCCATGGCTACAGGAAAACTCTGACATGCCTTTAGAGGCTGAAGGTTTCAAAGTTAAAAATAAGTAAAATATTGATTTTTATTCAAATATTCCTAATGTTCAGGTTCTCTTGAAAGGGTATTACAGTTCTCCTATTTTGCAGAAGTGGAAATTAAAACAATAAAAAAGATGCATTAAAAATCAGAATTTTATTTTTGTAATGAATTTCTGTGATTCAATAGATGGTACTTAATAAACAAGCATTATACACAGTTATTTTAAAAAATGTATCTATGTTTATAAGATGAGTGTCTCTAAAAAAAGAGGAAAATTAAATCTTGCTTTTCTGAATGTCTGATACACTGAATAAACTAAAATACTCTTATAAAGAGCAGTTTTATAATAATTACTGGGAACATTATTCTACCAAAGACACGTGAGAACCAGGTCTTCATCATCTTCTGGGAAGACAGCAGCACTGATGCCTGGACTGTCATTGTTTTCAAGTTCTTTATCATTTTCTTCAGCAATACATCCGTCATGTGCTTTTCCTTGGTTTCTTTTTTTCTTAGGAGAATATGCATTAATTTTCTTGTTGACTTTCTCTTTGGGATAGGACTTAGTAATAGTTTGTCTTTCCAAAGCATGTTGTAAGCAACTGTAAAACCTGTGAAGAAATAAGTACAATTGTTATATCAGTGTTTTGAAACTGAATGAAATACACCCAGAACTTATAAATTATATAAATTTGATCTGTCCTAGTAACCTTAAAATTTGAAATGAATCAAATAAATAGCATAATTTTTGCTTTTATTATTGTTTAATTAGGGGAAAAATTTACTTTCAGTTTTTTAAGAATAATCCTGAAAACGGGTTGGAATCACCTCTTGTCAATTTCTATTCTACTTCAATTTCAATTCCAAATGTAGATGTCAAACAAAGTAGAAAAAATGTGTCTTTATAAAAACATCATACATGTAATAGAAACTTAATTTAGAGGATTTAGAAAATATATAAAGTTATAAATATAGGTCCTTGATAAAACTACCTAGAAATAGCCACTCAATATTTTTATTCTTTCCGGTTTATTAATGTATTCTGAATCAATGTGTTTATACATTGCATATCTTTTACACAATTGGGATATTACATATAGAATTTTACACTGATTTTTCAAATTTAATATTTCTTGAAAATATTTTCTCTATTTTCAAGTGAACTACAAAATAACACTTTTTAATACTAGTGTAACATTGTGATCTACATTAGTCTTAATTTATTTTCAAATTTTCCCTAATATAAACCATGTAACAAACATTTTTGAAAATGATATGATCTAAATTTCTAGGTCTTTCTTTAGGACAGATACCTAGAAATGTAATTATGTGGTTAAAAAGTATAAATATTTTAAGGTTCTTAAGAAATACCGTTTTCCAGAATGTATGTTTAAAATATATACTTCTACCAGCAATACTTGAGAGACCACTTCATCCACATGTTAAATATTACCATCAAAAAACATGCTCTATTGGATAGGTGACAATGGTATCTTACTATTTCAATTTTCATTTCTTTTTTTGCAAGTGAAATGGAATGTTTTGCATTAGCTACTTGAAAATTTTTTAATGTGAATTGTTCTTTTCCTTTAGTCATTTTTCTACTGGAGTTTTAATGTTAATTTTATGATACAATTAAATTTTCTCCCTAAGAACTGGGCTACATTTCTTTTCTGCTCCCACATTCACACCTAATGAGAATCTCTGCCTGACACAGTAGCCTTCTGTGCATGTTTGAAGGCATCAAGATGGCGTGGTGTGTAGCATGTGCCTCATACCAGCTTTGCAGATTATATGGGGAATGCTGGGTTGGCTAATTCCAAACTCCCTCATTTCAATTTCTTCATTTATAAAATTGGCTATTATCCATAAATTATAAACTCCATGAGACCAAGGACCCCCATCTATCTTATTTTCTGTTATATTCATAGCATATAGTATAAGGCTGACACACCTGGTATGCCAAATATGTAAATAACTTAACTACTGAGCAAAAAATGTCTCAAATTAGAATGATCTGGAGTCTGAGACTCCTTGCCATTGTAGGGATCTTGTCAAGCTTATGTATCCTAATCTAACTGGAGACTATGACAGGAAATTTTTAATATCTACAGAATAGACTGCCATTTGGACCAATTTCCTTCTTTCTTTAATTCAATGGAGAGGTTTAATTCTACTTGCAAAGGCTCTAAAAAACTTCCTAAGATATTTACCTATTCCTAAATAGTCCACACAATTCTAATACATACTTAACATGATTACTACACACCCTGTCCATATTTCAAGAACTTACATGCTAACCACTCTACACCCTGATACCCAGCAGCGTGCCTGCCATATAATACACGCTCATAGACATTCCTTCAGTGAAGGAGTCAATCTCATAGAGGGATGCATAGTAAAAGGTAAAACTGTACAGTAAGAAATGCACACAAAAGGCTTTGAAAAATATTAACTGACATACAATTTTTAAAGCCTGCTCCCTGGTAACAACCTCATCATATAACACGCCCTGTACATCCTCACTTCAAAGGAAACTTGGCTGACCCACAAAGTCACCATCTGCCCTGTGTTCCTCAGAAGTGGAGACTGCTTATTCTTTCACACCCAGAGTTGAGAGATAAGGTCAGAGTTGAGAGATAAGGTCAGAATTGAGAGATAAGGTCAGAATTCAACTGGCTAAGACTTTGCCAAGACTAAACTCCTGCATCTGTCCCTCATGTCCTCCAACAAAATTCTGTTCAGTCCCTTATTTATGAAACCTTCTGCACTTTATTTGATCTTTCTAGTCTTCCCATCATCCTGGGTGACTTCAAGGACTGGTTTTCTTCCCATCATCCAAACTGCCTATTTAAAATGGCTTTAAAAAATGACCCAACAGAATGACTCATTTTATCTAAAACATAAACCCAAGTATGCCACAGAATGGTGTGAATAGTCCTTTGCTGATCATAAGAGACTACCCATGAAAGCACCTTCATCTTCTACCATTCTCCACCCAGCCCTGCCTGTACACTCAGGTAGCCAAGTCTTTTGTTTCTGGATTATACTCTATTCCTAGAAAACTACAGATCAGACTAAATTGCTCTTTTATGAACATGGAGAATTAACAACTTACATAAAATATCTTGTTAGTCATACACACAAAAAGATAATTAAAGAGGAACAGGTGCTTTACTTTAATCTTCCACTAAAGAACTCAAACCTGCATCCTTGGGGCATCACAAAACAACTGGTAAATGGAACAGAGACCCTTTTGTACTAAACGCCCAGAATAAAACCATCAAATACTTTCTCCTTTTTTGAGGGAGCTTTCAAAAAGTCCACTGAGAAACTATCTTATGCATTAAGTCAGAAATTTGTTTTCCAATCGCATGTTCTCCCCTTATTCTATGGTCCTTTACACAGCATTCGAAAATCCAATTCTCCAAGTGTAATTGTAATTTTCTGAGCTCTCACAGGCAACACAAAGAGTCTGGAGTATATTCAGGTAACTGTTTCTTTTCTCCCCTCAAAAGGAAATCATATTGTTTCCAGTTTTTCTACCTCTGCAGTCAAGATCACCATGCCATAGGGCAACTTGTACTCAGTTCTTTCCATTGAGAAAACCTTTCTGGCTAGTGCTGTGAAAATGAATTCTTGTTTTTCAGGTCCGTTATAGGACCACTCGCAATAGAATCTTTTACTTCTTTGACTTCTGAAATAGGAAGGAAACATTAATAAATGTAGGTGCAACTTCATACCCTTTCAGGCTTCCATTATTCAAAAATAACAAAGGCAGCTATTTTCATATATTCTGCATTTAGATTTTAACTAGCTCTAGTGTTTTTATTTAAAAACATGCATGTGACAGCCTATCTCAGGTGCTGGGAACAGGGCTAAGAGACAGGCTTGTATGCTCAAGGAATATCACTCCCGCTCACCTTGTTACTCAGGGATCTGTCACTTTTTACCTGGACTATGTGGCCAGAGCCCACTCCTGCTCACCCCATGTCTAAGCCATCTTACACATGCTCCAGAATGACCATTTTAATGCTTTGAAGCATTAAAAGCAGCACACTGATGGAAAAAGTCAGTTAACCAAATTTAGCAAACATTTATTAACTATTTTCTTGTGCCAGACACAGAAGATAATGGTTAATAAGAAGCCATTTTTGTCTTTGGGGAACTCAATGTATTTTACTTTTTGTTACTTTATTATTTATGATTAATTCTATAGACATGTACATTTTACTGTGAGCCAGACACTATGTAAGGTTTTAGGATAAGATCAAGGATAAGAGATATTTAAAGTGTGTGTGTGTGTGTGTGTGTGTGTGTGTGGTTGATGAGGGGGAGAAGTCAGTTACATTTTCAATGTGACTACATTGTGGTAGAAGAAAGATATACATGCACGTAAATAATTGCAAAGCAGTATGATTCACATTTCTGTTTTGCACTGAGGCATGAACTATAATGAAACTGGTAAGTGATAATATGAATGTGAGCCAAGGAAATGGCTATGGGGTTGAGACTAGGCTAGGAAAGATATTAAGGAAAGACTGATGGGATATTTTAATTACCTACATTCAACAGGTTAATGGATATATGAGCCCAGGACTGGGGAAAGATCTGGAAGACCTACCAGAATGTGGGGAAGTAGCTGAAGCTATGGGACAGGGACAGAGTCCTGGAGGACAACAATATTTAACCAACAGGTAGAATAGTAAGAGAAATTCAGAAGGAAGGGAAATAGGAAGGAAAGCAGCAGTGATATATTAATCATTATTTTCTGTGTCTGACACAAGAAAATTCTTATCAACTGGTATATGAAAAAATGCTTGATGTCATTAATCATCAGAAAAGTGCCAATCAAAACCATAGTGAGATATTACCATATATCTGTCAGGATGGCCATTATCTTAAAAACAAAAAAAAACAAAAAAAAACAACCCCGCTCACTGCTGGTGGGCATGTAAAATGGTACAATCCAGTTCCTGTGGAGAACAGTATGGTAGTTCTTAAAAAATGACACGTAGGATTACCAGATGGGCCTGAGATTCCACTAGTGGGGATACCCCAAAAGATCTGAAAGTAGTTCTCAGACAGACATTTGTACACCCACATTCATGGCAGTATTATTCAAAGGAACTAAAAGGTGAAAAAAATCCAAACGTCCATTGACAGATATATGGATAAGCAAAACGTGGTAAATAAACACAATGAAATATTATTCAGCACTAAAAAGAAACAAAATTCTGATAATCGTACAACATAGTTTAATGTTGAAGACATTATGCTAAGTGAAATAAGCCAGATACAAAAGAAAATATTGAATAGCTCCACTTTTATGAGGTATCTAGAATCACCAAATTCATAAAAAATACAAATAGAACAGTAATTTCTAGGGGCTAGGAGTTTGGTGACTGAGGAGTTACTGTTTAATGGGTACAGAGTTTCAGTTAGGGATGATGAGAAAGTTCTCGAGGCAGACCGTGGTGACGGGTGGTTACTGAGTGTACTCAATGCCACTGAACTGTGTGCTTAAAAATAGCCTAAACAGTCAATTTTGTTATAATAACCACAAACAAAATAATAACAAAATAAAAAGACCCAACCACTGTAAATAGATTCATTTACTTTTTCTCTCCAATTTGCTTCATTTTTATCAACAATATTATATACCAATATATTCAGCTACTTTATTGAACATTTACTTTCTTATTCCACAGTTGGTAAAAAAGACATGACTACTCTCACTGTACTCGGAGCTGAATGGTGGTTCCATCTGATCTAAGTCGGTCCTGATCGCATATAAATGGAATCAAAGACAGCCTTCCTCTTCTAACTGGTAAGTAGATCTCCAAACTTTCCATTTTTTCCCTAGAAATTATTATGTATAAAATTGTCTTACTTGTCCTGCTGAGAAGTGGGCTTGGGAACTGGTGGTCACAAACAAGACTTTTTTCTATTGAAAATATTTTACCCTTTGACTTTGACTGTTCACATTTGCAGGAAATTTCTTGTTGATAAAATGTTACTCATTTAGACCTCAGCTTTAAAAATTCTCTCACTATAGCTATTTTAACTGTGATATTTTGGTACTGTGACATTTTGGTCCTGTGACAAACCAATTTTAGTGCTCACTGTCTGACTGCAGAACCCATCACCTCCAGCGTTTACTGTTTCCTCTTTTCAACATCAGAAAAGCGACTCCTTCTCTGCATTTGGCTGAAAGTGCAGCTGTTCCCAAAGGAGCTCCCTAATTTGTACAGTCTTTCTGAATTTAATGTAATCTTCTCATCAGTATCTTAGGACACTTTTTACCCTTCTTTAATTTTTCACTGATTTTACATGATGAACGTGACTCCCTTGGTAGTAGAATATATACTATAATCGCAAAACGTATCCTTGAGTCAACGGATTTAAAACATAATTTGATTTTATAGCTGGTGAATGTGTCTCAATTAACTTCACCAGGTGTATAACTACTTGATCTTGGGCTATATTTATAATCTTGTTGAAATTCAAGTTAAGGAAATAGAAAAACTGATTTGTTTGCTTCCTCCTATGTTTTAACAAACAACCTCAATGGATTATTATATAACAAGTGTGGCAAACTTTTGGAATGGTAGCAACGAGAGTCTACATATAGTCCAAACTCTGTTGTCTGTGGAGTGGCCGGGTGCTCATCAGTTGCTTACTTTATCACTTTATTTAGAATGTTTGTTCAAAGCACTCTGTGGCCAGGTAATGTCTTGGCTTTCTTCAACCACAGGTCTGCTAGAAAAATAAGCCCTCCTGCCCTAAGACATCCATTGTAAATAATAAATTAACTTCTCTCCAATGCATCTAGAGTGGTACCATTGTTGGGAAAGCTGAGGGAAAGTCACTTGAATAATTTGTAAATCCTGTTGTTCAAGTTAGGAGCCCTGGTAGAAAAGGCCTGGACAGTGACCCTGCCGTCATTACTGGTTTGTTCTCTGGATGTGTCACTGCAGAAGGAGAAGGGCTCACCGACCCTGGAACCCATGCTATAACCGGGCCAGCGCTAATCATTACACGTATGACATTTTATACTAAACTGTTCTTTAAGATGAGTATTTACCCCCGGTTAGATATAAGAAAAATAAAGCCAAGAAAGTTGAGTAAGTTGTGGTAGAACCGGGATTTGAACTCACTTCTAGCTCTGGAACCCAGTTCTACCTCTTTCCACCAGGCAACACTGCTGCCATTGGCACCTCTGGCCTTAGCAGGCAAGTAAGCAGTAAAATTCCTTTGCATTTTACAGATAGGATTTTGACAGTGATAATAATAATGGCTTACAGAGAGACACACTAGAAGCATTCTACAATGAGACAAGCTAATAGTGGCAATGGTCTTGAATAAAGAAAGTGCCAGGAAGGATGGGGAGAGAAGAATGACACAAGTCACTTACGCAGACACTGACTGGTTAAGAGGTGGCCAAGAGAGTAGGGAGAAGGGAAACAAGAAACTACAAATGATATCAAGTTGGCCATCACCACTTGAATAACTCAGAAATGTACATCTTTTTTGGTGGTAGGTCAGTGGCATTATCATTATATAAATATATATATCGTTATATATATATATATATATTTTATATATATATATAAAATAGTCACTTCTTTATACCAAAAACTATTCTTGGAAAAGAACTGGAAAAAGCACTGTAAAAGTATTATCTAGCATGAGGTGAAATTTAAGAACAGAAGAAGTATATAAAAATGTGAATTAATAGCCATAATCCTTCCTACTAGGACAATTCTGGCAATTCTAGATCTAACCCATGATAAGAGATGGGTACTAAACTCACCAGAGGTGTAAAATATTTACCAGGCTAAAAATTAACCTGCCTAACCTCTTCAAAAGGAGATTCGAGTAGCCTAGTCTCCAGGAGATCATATTCAAGCAGCAGTGTGTGCCTTCCGTGGCTGCCTTCGACTCGGTCAGTTATGGTCCCATGGCTATCGGGCCCTCTTACCGAGTGATTACGTTTCTCTCCTTTATGCCTATTAACAACACTCATTTGTCCCATTGTGCCCCATGGAATGTATGCTCTGCTTAGTACACATTACAGTCTGGCCTACTTTCATCTATTACTCTGATCATCTTTTTATTATTCATGATAAGGCCACAAATGGAAAAGTAGTTGGGAATATAAACTAAAGATGGTATGTATTAGTGTATTCATAGATGATCTAGACATATTAAAATAATAGGGAAATATCTAATTAATGTACCTTTCAATTCTCTTCCTGTTTTCCTCCATTTTTTGATTTGCTATCTTCAGTAGGAAGTCGATATAATCCTCTGTCACCATCAGTTTTCCTTCATGGCTTAATGGCACTTCTAGGCCATGTGTGCTCCTGACAGCCTACAAGGAACAAACAATTTAGCTGGGAAGACTTATGTACTTGAGACACTGAAGATAACTAAAGAAAACCCCTAGTCAGGGTTGTTTTTAAACATAGTTCAGTTCCATTACAGCATATAGGTTTATGTTTTGATATAATTTAGCTAAACACAGTTGTATCAAAGGAGATTAAATAGCTTTTCCCATCATATAAAGTCATTTCTAAAGAAAGTCATTCTACACATTGTTTTAGAGAGCAGATAATATCAAAGGCTCCAATAACTTTAAGTTTCAATCTCACTAAAGCTTAAAAAGCTTTAATACACTATTTAAAGAAAAGAAATAAATAAAATCGCAACAGAAGCTTCAAGGGAAAACCAAATTAACTGGACTGGAAAGAGCCTCTTCCTGCTGCTTCAGCACAGTGAGGCTGTAAGAATAACCCATGCCTGCTCTGTCTCACAAAGTGGCTGCTTTCTCAGTGATTTTGGGTCAACCCTAGCAACCCTGTCGATGAAACAGTCAGCATGTTACAAGTAAATCCAAACACAGTAGATAAAGAACAACAACAAAAACTATTATGAAGAAAAAAATTAATTCAACAGACATTTACTAAGCACCTGCACTGTAGTACCTGTGCTAGGTGTGAAGATACAGGATGAATATAACATAGTCCCTTTAAGAGCTGATACCTTAGAATGTGAAACAAACAAGTGGATGAAAAATTATAACACATGTTCTTGTGTGCACATGCGCACACACAGAAAACATTAAGGAAATGTTAAAGAGGTTCAACCAATTGAGACAGGCTGCAGCTTTACAGGAAAGGTGGCATTTGAGTTGGTATTTTAAAGGATAAGTGCAACATTACCCAATGTAAAAACGAGGAAGAAGCACTTATCCATAATCACGAAGACATGAAAGAACACGGCACATCTGGGAAAGAACCCACAGTTTTCTATCTAGCTAGAGTGTAAGTATGCTAGCAGGAGATAAGCATAAACAAGGCGGATAGAAAATAGTTTGGATAACACCTTGAATACCAGGGAAAATACTTAGAGACCCTGACTTTTCAGAAGGTGGGATTCTAACAGTGCAGTATGGGGGGACTTGGATAAACAGCCAAAAGACCAGTCAGGAGACCACTGTAAAGACTGCGGTGAGACAGAATAAGGGCTTAAGTAGGAGTAGTGACAGAAGGTGCACAGAGGTGGACTCAGGTGTGAGCAATTAGAGGCAGACATGCTGGATCTTGAAAGTAACTGAACACGGAAGACAAAGAAGAGGAAGGTAGAAGAATGGCTCTATTCTTGCTGGGCCACCAGGTGCAGTGGGGAACGAAATGGGGACACAGACCCGTATCGTGGGCTCTGCCTTTCTATTTAATCATGCTTTACAGGGTTCTTCTTTTGGAAGCCACTTCTACTTGTCAAATAGGCTATTTGGTAAAAATAGATAGAAAGTAGGAAAGTCTAGGGAGCTAGATTGGAGGACAATCTGAAATTAATTCAAGGACAAATACATGCCATGACAAATAGTAAATACAATCAGTAAATACTACAGCAGATCAGAATAGAGCCAAATCATTAGGGCTAGGTTGGCCAGTAAAAGACTCAGAAAGGATGTAGGACTGAGAAGGAGCCTTAAGAGATCACTCAGTCCAGAGGTCAGCAAACTGTTCCTGTGAAAGGAGAGAGAGTACACATTTTCAACTTTGTGGACCACACAGTGTGGCCCAGCTACTTAATTTTGCCACTGTAACACAAAAGCAACCTGAAACAGTAATTAATCAAATGGATGTAGTGGGATCTGGCCCCACTGTGCTAGGGCAGTAGTTTGCTGGAGCTCTGATATGGCTGAGAAAATTCAGACCCTGAGGGATTAAGGAGCTTGCCCAAGTTCATATAGCACAGCCGGGGGCTGGCTGGTATTCATGCAGAGGGCTCTAGACTCCCTATCTGTGATTCTTTCCATCACATCATCGTGCTTATTAATTTGGGGTTATGTAGGATGAGGAGGGCACGGTAGAAAATACAATACTACAAAATAAGACCTCAAATGTACATCTAACAGCTCTAGACTTTGCCCACTCCGAACTTTGCCTGGAAGGAAATATAAGTCACTGAAGGTTTTTGAGCAAGGGAATGACAAGAAGATCTGAGTAAGGAGAGACTAAAGGCAGGACTCTAAGCAGATGTCTAAGTTATTTCAATAATCTGGATATCTTCATGCTCAAAGAAGTCTCTTTGTCGAAAAGGTATCTTACCAACATAGTCTTTCCTCTTTTTCCCACTGTTATGCCAGAGTTCCTGAAACCAGAATCTATTGCCACTGAATGCTGTAAGAAAATAGATTTGTTAAATTCTGATAATCTGATTAATCAGATAAACTGTTAAACTCTACAAACTGCAGAAACATATATAATGCCCAACCTATAATTAAAAACTAGTTTCTTAAACTAATACCACATTGATTTTTGGTAGGTGCTTTTAAGGCTTAATTAAATCTATCCACGTATCTATAATTTCAAGTATAATTACAAAGTTTTACCAGAATCTGTGCATCTTGCAACTGTCGACACTGTACATGAAGAACAAGGGGTTCAAATTTCAAAACAGCATCACCATTCGCGTTTCTCAGAGCTACAATCTAAATAAATGAAAAGTGTTTGTGTCAGACACAAATATATGACCCTGTCCTTCATGACATGTACCTTGTTTTCCCCAGGAACTTTAAGACTCCTGCAGCATCCTTTTTCCAAAATAACTTTGCAGTCTTGTTTTCTTGGGCTTCTTTTGCCAGAAGCTTATAAATCTGCTTATTCTTTTCAAAGACCTGATTTCTAATTCTCCCATATATCCCTGCATCATTCTCTCCAGCCCTATGTTAAAATGTAAGCTACTACCATATTTAATTCCTTAACAGATTTTTCATTAAGGAATATGGTAGGTAAAGACTGTACTAGAAGGTCTGTTTAAATACCCCATTGTTAGACTGAGGTTTGAGACACATGTATAATAGTCTCAATGTTATCCATGTACGAGCTAGAATTTATGTAAGACAGTCATTATTTCTGTCTGCCCAACATCCCTAGGCAGCACACTCCCTCCTTCACACCATTTCATTTTCATGGGACTGTAAATCATGACCCTGTCACTCATCACTCCCACTATCATAATATCAAAGATGCCAAGTGCCTAGGTCTGATCAGGAATGACATTCCATTCTATTGGCAAGAATAACTGATCTCAGGGGGAAGACACCTAACCCAAGCAGTATGATTCAGAGTCCTTCTTTGAGAATGATACATGGATCTTCAGAAGAAGTTTCTTCTGCTGGGGTTGCTGGTAGCTACCTTTCATGCCACAAAGATAATCTGAAGCAGAAGAGAATAAGGGTGAATATGCAGAGAACTAGGACCCAAACAAGGAGATGGAGGTTGAATGAGTACTCTGAAGACAACATTTGAGCGCCTTAACCAGTAAGGTAAGTGCTTGGCTAATACAAACTTATATGAACTCATCTAAACATTTCAATTTAGGAAATTAAATAATCCAGCACAGATAGAAACGATTTCAAGAAGCAATCCAGTCCAGGTAAGTAATGGATAATTTATTTACATCAGAATGCTGGTAAAAGTGCTAATCCTTTACTCCTGGCATCCTTTCTCCCCCTTTCTTCTACAATTTGTACCAGGTTGCACAGTTATAAAATAGCAGAAATGAAATTTTATCTTTGGTTCCAATGTGTTGAATGTCTTTGAACTCTCTGCTATGTCCAAGAAGATGTGTTTTTGAACATTCGTAGTAATGCTTGCATAAATATTTCTGCTTTCATCTACTACAACTCAAGAAAGCCATCTTAATAAGTTCTCTTTAGGCTTTATGAATAATTTTCACCCATTATAATTATGAACATAAATCATCTTGAATTTCCTATTGTTTTCATCTATATTAAAAGTGACTGTAAATTAAAAAGCTTATTTCTTTAAATTAATAAATAAAAACTTACCACATTATCTTTTATACAAGGTTTGTGTGTAACTAGTAGCCAGCGACAGTTTTGTTTCTGAACCTCAAAGCCATTTATACTCTAAAATGAAAAACAGCATAATTTAATTTAATCATATATTTACAAAAATATTAAGTACAATGCGTAACATATGGTTGGCTTTCTTAAATTAATAATCCCAAGTGGTGATTTTTAAGTATTACTAAGAACAATTCAATAGGTAGGCTTTTGGGTAACATTTACCAAAAACAAAAATGAAACCAGAATGCTTGAAATTGAAAGAAAAATACCATATGATTTCACTTATATGTGGAATCTAAAGAACAAAATAAACAGACAGCAGACTGGTGGTTGCCAGAGGGGAAGGGGAGTTAAGAGATTGGGTAAGAGGTGAAGGGATTAAGTACAAATTTGTAGCTACAAAATAGTCATGGGGATGTAAAGTATAGCTTAGGGAATACAGTCAATAATATTGCAATAATTATGTATCATGCCAGATGGGTACCGGAAATATCAGGGGGAACACTTTGTAAAGTATATGATTGTCTAATCACTATGCTGTGCACCTGAAACCAATACAAAATAGTATTAAAAGTAACCTGTAATTGAAAATATAATGAAAAGTGAATTACAAAACTTTTAAATGTGTTCATCAAGGTAAAAGAATTTAATGTTGTCTGAAGCATGGTGATGATTTTGGCAGGAGGAAAGGGATTACTCAAGGGGATGTACACTAGCAGGCTCTGAGTTCTCCCCTAGCTGTTTTACTCAGCTGGCACAATATTAAAAAAAAAAAAAAAAGAGTTGCTTTTGTAACAAAGCAATGCTGTCACAATCCCTACCACTCTTTTACTGTCACCTGAGCTGTTCACACCTTTATATGTCCCTAGTCTCCAGAGGCATAAATCTGTGACTTTACATGTAGTCCCAAAGGGCAAAGCTAGAACTAAAAGGTCAAAACTTCAAGACAGCAAATATTTAACATCAGATTCTTTGCTTATTAACTGGAAAAAGTGTCTATTTGCAATGTTCTATTATGTATTTTTGGGTATAAACAGATCTTACCCTTAAGGATACTAGAAAGAGGAAGCAGGAAACCATACGCACTTTTAAATCACTGTACTTCTACAAAATGACTATTCTTACAGTGTAGACAGGAGGCTTTCCTGTCTGGCCTTGGTAATGGGAAGAGCTGAGCTTGTCCTAAATAACTGATCTGATTTCATTCAATAACCTCAGTAACTTTTGTATCTGATTTTATGCTAGCTACTCTAAATTATAGAGCCAAATATGTGGCCAACCTCTGGATTTAAAGAATCTAGTGCCATGTTTTAGGAATTAATATCATTACTGGCTTCTATATCCCCTTTACTCAGATATTTCCATTCTTAATTTTTCTTCTTGTATTGCTTTCAGGAAGGATCCAAATCCTCCCTGAAATAGGGCAAAATGAAAATAAACATAATACTCCCATAAGATAATACATAAAATAAAAAAAGGTTCATAAAGAGTCCTAAGGCAGTTCAGAAGAAGTAGTTATTACCCCCAAGTGTGAGTGTGTGTGTGTAGGTGTGTTCAGGTGGAAGGGGAGTTTTGGGAGTCATGCCTTAGATATGCAGAGGTGGGGAAAACGCCGCAGAAAAACAAACTTGGGCAAAGACAAAGGCAGGTAAATACAAGATGAAAAGGGGAAGATTCACTTTCAGTAAATAGATAGTGATGAAGAGAAACAGAAAATAGGGTTGCATATCCAAACTCCATACTAGACTTGGAGTTTGGATATTCTGATGGTGAAAAATATGTAAGAAAAGATTTCTGCTTGGATGAGTGACATTGACAGAGCTGTGCTTTAGAACGGTACATTTATTAACAGTGTGTAACATGTTTTGAGGTAGACAAATCGGTAGTGTAGTGAACTTTTATAAAACCATCACAGAAATCCACCTAAAATAATGTAGTAGAAATGGGGGAAGAAAGCAAGCCCAGCAGGAGTGCCACTACTCTAAAGGCAGCAGAAACAATATAAAAATAAACAAGCCTTGCTAACTTGGGAGATCAGTGAGGGATCTAAACAGAGCTTAGGAGTGCGCCGACTTTCGTACTTTGAATTTAGAACTAATGCTAAAATTAAAAAAACAGCTAACTTTTTCTGTACTCTTAATACGAGCTAGGCACAACATTAAATGTTTCAAATAAATTATCTCACTTACTCTACACCAGCCATTTTCAACCCTTTTCATCTCATGACACGAACTAATTAATACAATTTTGAGGCACACACACAAAAAAACATTTTATGCCGATCTGACAATAAACAGATGTAATTTTGATTCATTCACACCGGGCTGCTATATTGTGTTGGTTGTTGTCCTTTTTTAAAATTTGACAATCTAAGGAAAAAGAGGTCAATTTTAAAAATTCTGTGGCACACCAGTGAGCCTTCCGCAGCACACCTCTCGAAAAATCGCTGCTCTACACAAAAATCCCTGCGAAGCTGATACTTTTATTATCCTGTTCATGAAAGGAGTGGATGAGCTTACATAACTTTCCTAAAGTCACACAGCCAATAATTCCCATAACTGGGTTAGAATCTAAGCCTTATCACTCCAAAGCCTGAGGGCTTGACCACTATCTCACACTATATACCACAGTATTGTACTTTTCCAGCCTAATGTAAAAATTACAAGAGCTGTAATAATGAAGTGGGCCGCTAGGAGGTAGTAAACACCTTAACCCTAGTGAAGTTCAGTCAGGATTTGGTAGAGAGCTTTAAGTCACCAGCTTCCTCAGGCTGGAAGGTCTTTAAATTCCCGTAGTATTCAGAAAATCACATTCTTTAGCCTTTGCAACTCAAGATCATTCTCAGGCCAGCAGCTTCGGCAGAATATCAGACTTGACCTACAGAATCAGAATGTGTACTTTAAAAGATCTCCAGGTGATTAGTAGGCACATTAAAGTCTATTCACCCTCTTAAGTTTCCATAGATAAATTGAAACCACCCACCAAAAGGAGAACACAAACAGGCTGCATGGAGTCTCATACTGGGTGAGTACAGGGCTCCTGGTGTTCCCACTACAAGGCAAGCGCTGGACAGGCTCAGAGGAGGCTCACCCCGTCTAGGAGGATGATACGGCCAGAGCAGGAGCTGGTGGTAAAAAACTGTTCTTGCCCATTCAGGAGCTGCACAATCTCAGCCACATCCTCATCCACACTGCCCTTGAGGCTGAGGTCCGCTTTGCTCAGACACTGTGCCTTCCATCTCCTGAACTCTGCGCTACGATCCATCCGAAGAGGGATTTAGGGTTTGGGCTTTCACAATAGCTCTCGCCTTCTCCCGGGGACAGCCATATTGGAGCGAGTGGTGCCGAAGTGGTCCAAACTTCTTTACGTTCTCGTCGTTGTGAACTCGGAGATTCTCGCGTGGATTCCTGGGGGCGGGAAGAGGCGGGCGAACGAGGCAGAGCTAGCAAATACTGTAGACGACTAAGTCTGCCCCCCGTTCTGTGGAATCAGTGGGAGCCCTCGCAGATTTTGATTCCCCACTCTAGAACAGGGTAAGTGATTGTGAAACAGCCCCCCTACCTATTCAAGGCGTGCATTTCCACGGCGCTCGTCCACACTGAAACGAACTTGATTTTGGCGGCGCGGCTGGTTACGCGCTGTACCAGCAAATAAGGAGCTGCTGGCCACCGCCTTTCCCCTCTAGGGGCCGCAAACTCCTCCTCCGCAAATCACCTGGGGAGTTTTACCTGCCTAGCCTGAGTTCCCAGCCTTGGTTTCTAGTAGGAAGTGCGTTTCTGCTCCACACCGCGGGGCGCCCGTTGGCACTGCCCCTGCACCGTTTTGCTCACCATCCACGAGATTTGGGGGACGGCCGGCCGAGGCTTGGGGGTTTCCTGCGGCTGCGCGTGCGTTTGCTGCGTCCCCCTGCCCACCACCCATCTGTGGGAGTTGGTTTGTCTTCGGTTCCTGCATCAGCAGGCGTCCCGGCGCTCTTTCTGGCTGGCCTTCCTTTGCTTTGACCATCAGATTTGCCATCTTACTTTTGAAGAGAAATGTGTAGGGTGGGTTTTTTTGGTTTTTGTTTTTTACCTTTTCCCTCTTATCGCCCTCACCTAGAATAATCTTCAAATAAAAAAATACAAAAATTACCCAGTTAACACATCGTTGGATGTTTACACAGTTCCTCCAGGATACTTATCTCAGTGACCACGGAATGTGTGTTAATGATTGAATCATTTAAAGGCTAAAGTTCAGGCTGTTTGTGGGCAGCTAGTGGACATGGCTGTGTAAATGCCTGGGAGCAGCAGCAAATCCCACCGAGCTCTGCTCCCCAACAATGGAGAGCAGATTGCCCAGTTCTATCCAATCTGCATCAGAGAACCTGGAGAGGGTTAGAATTATCTAGTCAGTAACTCGTCCACCCTCTCTTATCAAAAGCGTGCCCTGAGGTCCAGAACAGCAAGCATCCTGACGAGGTCACAAGCCAGGAAGAGACTTACCCTTGGCCACTTTTCATTTTTTAAATTTCTTCTGCGTTAGGAGTAATAAATAGATAATATGATTACACTGTTGCGGAAAATCACTCACTCGCGGAGAGATGACGAAGCACAAACTTTTATTACCTGGGGAGCTCAGAGGGGAATCCCAAATTTTGAGCCCAAAAAGGCTGGACTCGGTCTTCTTTATATGCTGGTTACACCGGCAGAAAGGGGGTGGGGGAGTCATCTGCAGAAGCAGGCACACAGAAGCAGAAGCCAAGGTCAGTATTTTGGCCTTGAGATAACTGTTACTTTGGTGACGGCTCCTAGTCAGTTCCCAGTCATATAAAAACAAAGGCACTGTGACATTTGCAAGTGATACAGAGAGTAAACTTTTTCTTGGGTTTTCTTTTCCTGCCACAACACGAGTCCTTGATCAACAGCAGCACATTATATAACGAGTGAGTCTCTTTCCAAGTTTTTATTTTTTTATTTCTTGCCTAAAGTTTTTATTTAATTTTACTTCTGCTTTTCTCTCCAAATGTGACTTTGCTCTGACTTTATAAATTGATCTATGCATTGCATGTTAAAATAAATTTCTAATATTTTCTCTATTCCTTTAATTTTTAGAAAATAAACTTCTAAGTTTTTTTTTATAAATAACCTTCCTTTTTCTTTAGAAAAATTTATTTATTTATTTTTAGAGGGAGGAGCAGGGAGAGAGAAAGAGAAGAAGAGAAACATCAATGGGTGGTTGCTTCTCATGCACCCCCATTGGGGGCCTGGCCTGCATCCCAGGCATGTGCCTTGACTGGGGATTGAACCAGCAACCCTTTGGTTCACAGGCCAGGTGGGTACTCAGCCACTGAGCCTAACCAGTCAGGGCTATTCCTTTAATTTTCATTTAAACCTAAAGGATTCAAGTGTAGCATGGAAAAAAGTCACTATTTAAGGAAGAATTTTAAATTCTGAATTTCTTAGATTTGCAAAGTTTGGCTGGCAATGTTTCATAGATTTACAAATAAAATAAAAATGAAAACCAAGTTACTCTTGGTGAAAAATTTTAAAAGTTTATATTTGAGAAATGGAAAAACCTATTTGAAGTACAGTTTAATTTAGAAAAACACAAGCAATGTGGCAGGACTGCTGACTGCACATGATTTACTCAAAATAATCGAGCTCACTACATGCTAGGGGTACTGTGATCCACTACTCACCATGTGCTGCTGCTGCTAATCTTCACAAGGATCCTATGCTAGGGAGTATTGGGCCCATTTTACAGATAAGAAAATTATTAGTTTCCCTAATAGAATAATGCCATGTATATGTCTATTGGGTCCTCTAACTTAAGGGCATTTGACATATTTCAAGTTGTAAGCAGATACCTTGATCATAAAATACATAATCCTACCTGAAGGTTAATTGAATTTCATATTTCTAACTCAATCTTTCTCACTATCAGCATAATAAAGTACATTCCTAAGAAATTAGGGCTCTTTTCTGCGAACATTGCAAAGGGTGAGGTGAAAAGGATTGTATAGGAAGGAAGTGAAATCTCGAAACAACATCTAGGGTGTAGCACTTGGGTTCTAGCTTTGCTTTTGTGTGACCTTGACAATTCACTTAACCTCTTAGAATGTTTTCCCATCCATAAAATGGATGGTGATTTTATTTCTGCATACAGTGTTAATAACTGTTGCTTTTCTACCCATTGTGAAAATAACTATCACTGGATGTGAAAGATGTGCTTTTTAGAAGAAATCCGGTATTGCAAGGTCTTAAGAATTAATCATAGTAGCAGTTTGTGTGTTATTTCATTCTTTTTATTATACCTTCTGACATAGCACCTATATTATGAAGCAGATCAGGACCCTGTGTGTAGCTGAGGGGGTTCAAACACCAGGAGTATAGATTGGATCCTGATCAGTGACAACGGCTAAAGCTCAGTGGGAAATAAGATCGCCAGAAACAAAGTAGAAGACAGAGGTCATGGCTGTCTCCTTACAGCACCAAAGGATAATGTGATAGGTTGGGTCCAGGCAGGGTACCTTCTAAATCCAGTATTAAGCATGAGTCTCCTCCTTGCTTTATTCTTTTTTCCCAATTTAGCAAATGTCAAAATGTAAGGGGAAAATATATGTGCTAGATATTTTTTGACAGATTCTATTTCAGGGCAATTTTGCTTTTATTATTGCCACAGTTTTTGAGGATAGTAATGTCTGTTGGTGAGCAGACAGGTGTGAGGGCTTGAAATAAATGAATAGGTAGGAAATGGGTAGATACTGAATGTGGAAAAAGAGCTCCGAATCCTACACGGTGTGTGTGGGCGTGTGTGAGAGAGTGGGGTGTGTACAGGAGCTGGGTGGGTGGGGGTGGGGGCTGAGGCGTTTTCTCTCCACCCTTTGTGTTCTCTGAGGTTGGTGCAGTGCCTCCCTTACAGTTAATGTTCAAAAACTACATGTTGAATGAATGACAACCAATATTTGGTATTAGTGTTTTCTTTAAATCATTCTCTAGACTGAACTCTTTGGGCTAAGTATTTGTTTTTACAACCAGAGTCCTGTAAATATTGTTTTGATAACTCAAAGATGATTGTAGAACTTTAGAATCAAGAATATGTTAATGAAAAAGAAATTAGAAAGGAAAAATAGATGGGGAAGGAATAATGGTGTCAGCTGTACACGGGAGTGAGCATTGTCCAGGTTCTGTAGTTGATGCTTGCTGTGTCTCTACCCCTAGCCCGGAGTGGGAGCCCTGATTTTAGATGAAGAGGCTCGAAGATGTCAACTGCCTTGCCCAAGGCCACGTAGCCAGTAAATGACAGAGCTGCCATTCATACTGAGAGCTGTCAGATTTCAAAGCCCACACTTTTCTTAACATGCTGAAGACAGAAAGAAAAAAAAGTTGTTCTTCCAGAATGGAAAACCTGGATCTAGACAACTTTTTTCCTGTTTTATTTTCTTTATATTTTCAGTTTCTTGTCTAAGAAGTGCCCAGCCTGACTGAAGATAGTGGTGCAGCAGTGAGACCTCGGAGTGGTCTCTGTACAGGCCTTCTCACCCTCAGGGACTGCGGAGCTGCCCCACGGCGCTGCTCTTAGGTTTAGGCCTTGTGCCTGCTTCTGCCCCTTTTTACTAGAGGGCTGCCCTTCAGGATTATGTCATTGCTGAACAGCCTTTCAGCAGTGGAAACTTTTTTTGCTTTCTCCACTGTGCTAGGTACTATATTAAATCATTTGAAATAAAGGTTTTTAAAATGACACAACTTTTGACTAATTACATTAAGAACTTTCCATTAATAACACCATCAACATGCTTATGATCCTCCTCCCCCATATATGGAAAGACATCTTATTATTAGCATGGACTCTGTTCTGAATAGCCTTGTGCTGAGTTTCAATACAGTAAAAGTCTGAATTCTTTCATCTCCAGTCCTAGTTTTGGCAACACTTTTTGGCAAAAGACTCTGAGTTTTCATTTTAACGTTAACAGTGGTAGAACAGAAAGGTAGGACAGTAACTGGAAATTACCCTTGTAATTTATAAAAGAAGGTTTGCAAAGCAGTGTTTTAGTTTTCAGTGTTTTTCCTCCTTTTTAAAGTGAAAGAACTTCATAAAGCCAAGTGTTTTGGATCGATAAATCTCAAAAACTTAATGCTAAGAGGAAAAAGCAAGCTGCAGAATCAAGTACAGTATGATCCAGTCTAAGTAAAGCTTGAGCCCTGGCGGTGTGGCTCAGTGGGTTGGGCATCGTCCCACAAACCTAAAGGTTGCTGGTTTGATTCTTGGTCGTGGCACAGGCCTGGGTTATGGGCTGGGTCCTTGGTTGGGGGTGTGCGAGAGGCTACTGTAGATATTTCTCTAACGCATCAATGTTTCTCTCCGTCTCTTTCTCCCTTCCTTCCCCT